GTATACGTTGCCGCCAATCACTAGTTTATTGAAGGCGCAGAAGTCAGTGAAATTTCCCGTTTTCATTCTTCTCTCCAAGCGCTTCTAGACACGTAGTGAGTTTTTCTGCCATGTCGTCTGGTCCCAGTTTGGCGTTCGTGTCGTCCATTAAGATTTTAATGTCAACGACTAAAGTTTTGTGCATTTTTATATGTACTTGTCCGTAGATTTCTTCTTTAGTTCCTAGGTTTGCGTTGTTTGCAGGTGCATAGCACTGTATTATTGTCAATCTCCTTTGGAGTTGCATCTGGAAGTCATTAACCTGGGCGAGATCGCCTCCCGTTATATTGGGGTTTGGTGACATTGTGATAGCAACATACTCGGTGTGCTCGTTGTTGTCTTCTGGATGACCGGATTTGATCAACGAATCTCTCGTTGACAAATTTGTGACTTCACTCCCACTCCATCTGCTTTGGCACAATCCCAGGTTTTGAACTCTATATCGTTTCATCTCGAATGCAATCTGGCTGGCTTTGCCAGTCCCATATACGGTAAGGACGTTCTACGTCGCCAGGAGACTCTGCGTACTGAAGTTTCTGTAGCAGCTCTGTTTACAAGGTGGGGATGCTAGCCTCATGTCAGAGTAGATGATTTTTGACACATGAATATACAGTTTACACAGGAGGGACATTTCGGGTTGCTTTCCTTAGAATCAGGAGAACAGGGAATAAAGCAATCTTTACAAAAACTGTAAAAGAATCTGCAACAATATAGGCAGCGAACACAACAACAAAAACCATAGCAGTAGTATCACTGACAAATACAAATAACAAAAATGATATCAAAGCAATAGATTAAATGACTCGTGTCAAAATGGGTATGTAAATCCAATAATATATAAAACTATAGATATTACATAATGTTTAAAAGCCACAAAATGCCAAACAGTAAGTTGTAGTCATTCAACTATCACTTGTCTACATCCAAACCAATAACCAGCAACGTGGCACGAGGTGGCGTTCTTGGTCCTACCCTATTCATTGTATTCATAAATGATATTGTCTCTATGATCAAGTATGGCAAGCCATACCTCTTTGCAGATGACCTCAAAGTTGTCTATGATTTCGACTATAATGATGTGAATATTGCTAGTAAAATCCAACAAGATCTAAATAGTCTGTGTAATTGGAGTGAAAAGTGGCAGTTAACGTTCAATCCAGCTAAATCTGGGATAGCATACTTCGGACATTGGAAAACTAGCATGTGTCTACACACGTATGGTGACCTTGTCTCAGACGGGAACACAGTCACAGATCTCGGGGTAACATAGGAACATGCAAATAAAGTGGTATCTGATTGTAAACGTCTAACCGGCTTTGTGCTATGCAACTTTTACACTCCAGAAGCCAGACTAGCCATATATAAGATATGTATTCGCCCCAAACTTGAATACCGTGCTCACTTATATGGTAGCTTTAAATCAGCAGACAGAAAAAAGTTGAAAGTGTCCAAAGATTCCTCACGAAACGCGTATTAGGCTATGGTCAGCAAATAGAATACTTTGACAGATGTATTCTACTGGAGTTAGAGCCCTTATGGTTAAGGAGAGTGAAGTGCAATTTATTTCTCTTATTCAAAGTTATGAGAAAGCACTGTAACAGTAACTCATCCATAACGTGGGCTAATCCTATGCTCTACGCAACCATGACTACCTTCTCAAGGTTAACACCCATAAACTCACCACTAGAGCTTCTTCACCATTAAATATTGCAAACTTTGGAACCAACTGCCCTCTGAGATAAGATCCTGTGAAAGGCCTGACAGTTTCAAACGGAGCCTAGAAAAACATATAAACATGTCCACCCTAGCCTGTCCAAAAGATTTCAACTGCTGGTGGAGTGGTGAAACAGTGACATTTCAATATTTAAATACGGAAAGTATACTAGTTCCTAGACTAACATAACAATACTTAGTAATTATGCACGTTCAATTCTTGAAATTAGATTGTCATCAAAATACTTAAAATGATTAAAATATATATGCAGCAAATGTTCTCTTGGTTTACCACTCCTATTTCCCTTATAATACTCGTTATTGAGCCTTATGTACTCCTTGATAATACGAATTATAACATTGATTATACTCTTATCATGTATAGATTGATTTACTTCACGGCTCCCTGTAAGACTAAATACCCTTCTTCAGTATACACACACTGCAGTATTGTTAACCAAATGCTAAAAATTTTTTGGTTCAGTGTTAATATCTCTTTATAATATGTGTAGACAGGTTACTTTGCAATGTCAAATGTTTACTATATATAAGACTGTCATGAAAATTTAGTACACTAAGTCCGGCCAACCGACCTTACCTTCAGTTCATACTGCCTACATTGATCCCTAACTATATTGTTCTGCTGAATATTGCTCCACTATTCACAAAACCTATTCTTTTTACTCTTAAAGTTTTTAATTTCTTATAAAGTAATCTGTTCATTAGGACGCATGCATACATATATAATATGTTCATAAAGATGTACGTGGAGACCTATTGGAAGCACTCGTTAAGAAGGCTAGGGAGATGGAATATGAGGTACGAACATGTCTGGTACCGAGCAATATATTTGAAATAGCCATAATAATCATGGTCTCAGAGCCTAACATCATAAAAGGAGGGAGGGTGGAGTTAGCTGATCAGTAGACATGGTGGTGGCCACTAAGGTGAATCGCCCATCCTGCGGGAACAGCAATATGCGATTTGACGGCTCGAGGTTTTTATGATTTTTATGAGGGTGTCAATGTATTTGAAGATTGAACGATCAATTCATGGTTGTTTGCTCAAACCCAACTTCCCCATAATTTTCGCGTGTCATCAATACGGAAGTCATCGTCTCATCGGTCGCTGTTCAGAAGGAAGAATTAAAGACTGTCAGAAGTAATATCGTGATTTATTGTTGTAATATTTGTTCCTAGACCTTACACTGTGATACCAGTATTGCTGTTTATATGTTAGCGCTAGGATAAAGAATTCTTGAGTCGCCAAACAGTGTTTTGGTTTTCGCGTCGGTTAATACTAAGCATTTCTGAAAGGCTTCGAGGGACAGCGTGAGGCCCAGCGTTGCAAGAGCTGGGCATTAACGGTTCATGGGACTTGACTGACAGAAGGCTTAGATCTTTATCTTGAAAAAGATAATAATGAACGCCTAGACAGATCATGCTTCTACCTTTAAATATATACCATTCGCTCAGCCTATTCTTGAGATGCGACCACGTGGGCTCTACACGGATTTATGGGGCATCTTATAAATTAACTTGCTATCCATCGTCAGATCTTAAAATACCACTTCATAATGTCTTATCTCATTCATTTTCTAATAACGTCTTTACTTGATCCTCATTATATTCCATTAAACCTAACATTTTGTAGCTCTTTGTGAATTTGATTCGACTTATTCTATTCCTATTCTCTGTAGGGTACGGTTGTGCACCAAATAGACAAGAAGGCATGAAATAAAAACAAGCGGCTTGAAAATAATTGTATTAAAGCCGAAAGTGTACATCATGATAGGAAGACCTATATGGGTAGCATTATACATTGCAAATGAACGGTGTCGGCCTGAGGATTAATTACTTCCACATTCTGTTTTCTATATAAATGTATTTATTAATGATATATTGCACTTACTTATTTCATTACACTTTAATGATTCACCTTAGCACTTTAACTTTTCTAAAGCAGCTTTCAATCCCTTGTAAACGTTGTGATCGCCTCAGTATTGGTTGAAAGCGATTTTCCCGCGCAATCTGAAGGGTAATTGTACAATTCAATAACTATACGGCCTGGTTCAGACAATGGGTGTACATATATATATATATCAAATATTTAACTGTTGAAACATTATTAAGCTGTAGACAATCTACGATTCGAGATTATATCATACTTGATTGTGTCTGTAAAAGTGACATGTATTTTCATGTGAATTTATATGCTTATGTATGAAAATATACATTATTATTATAATAGCCAACAAGATTATATCTACAGAATCAGTGTGCTAAGATAGACGAGTTACAAATTCCTGGCTAGAAACACGGGAGAGATGAGTTTTATATAACTAAGCAAATTTAGTGAACAATTTATCTAGCTCATTTCTGCCTAATGAGCAATGGAAGAGAATTTATGCCAGTATTGTCAAACAAGAAATCGACTTGTAACACATCATGCCTACACAGTAGTGCCCAGGAAACTGACTAGCACACAATTCGTATAATTGCTAATATCTCATTCTCAAAGATTTACTCCATATTATTGAAGAGTAGGAGGAAATTTTTCGATATCATGGGAATTTAAATATACCACAGTTACCTGCTTTTGACGATGTCACGTGCACAAACTTATTAGCCGCCGAAGGCTAATGCTGAATAAAGCGACAGGCTTGTGGCAAACGTACATAGAGAACACCAGAAGTTAGTGAACGATAACAGACTCCCTGCATGATATTCCCTGAAATAGAGTACAGAAGAAAATAAAACATAATCATCATTATCAGAGAACGATCTTTACTGGCGCTCAAACTTAACAGCTAATCAAGGTGCCCTCCTGTTAACTTGGAGATGCTGGATTCGGCAGGTCATTTACCGTCAGTGTCCTAAATTATATAGAGGCGAATACAAGTATTCTTTGAATGAGATCATCTCGCGACCGAAATTTAGGCCCACCGAACGCCAACGGCTCAAATGAACATGAACCAGTCTTTTCTCCCCAAGAAGGTAATATGTTCCAATTACCACCATTGAGTTAGTGGATACATTTATTATATCGTAAGCCAACTACTGCTTCAAATGTTCATTCTCCTTGTGCAAAAAAATACTGGATAAGAGCAGCTTTATTTTTTATTTTATTTTTTGTTGTTTATTTAGCGAGAGTTTGTTATAACCATTCCTTAGGTTGAGTCGTTATTGGACGTGCGTTTTGGCACATTTTCGAAATTTTTGGGTTATCACGCATTCTAACGGAGCATAATGCAGTGTAAACTCTGTAAGTCAATATTCGTTGCTTTATTTGTTCATTTTTCATAGTTTCGTCAGAAATTTCCTCGAAAGATTTAGAAATATTCTGCAAAAATATGCCGTAGTTCCCCACACGTTCCTATTATCGATGGAACAAAACAGTTCAGATACATTAATTCACGTGGAAGTGCTATTGATATGAATGGCTAACACAAGCTTATGTGACTGCGGTTTCTATTATTAAGGGCTGCCTAGTATTTGTGTTTTTTCCTCATGTCGTTTAAATAGCCTCCTCTAAATGTTGGTATCTTAATAGAAAACGTTATAAATGGGGAAATATGCAGTATTTAATATTCCTTGACAGCTACTCAGCCTATGAAGTCTTCGTGAGCCAGAGCAAAGTCGGATATGACGTGTCCGCTACAAAAAGTCTGGTGTGAGTAAATTAATTTACCCCAAATTTGGGGTATTTCTTGACTGTAAAGGAAGTAGGAAAACATTCTTATGATATGTGGCAAGTATGAAAACATGCGGTGGGCGGAGAGGAAATTTTAGCACCAACGTGTGACCAATGGGTAAAGTTGGATAACTTGACGGAGTTGGTTTTCGAAGGCCACATTTCACTCATGTCTCCCTGAGTCAAATTGCCTGTTAACCTCCTGTTTTGTCCTTTTCCGGATTCTCAATCTCTAACTAGGTACTAGGTTCATGCAAAGGTGTTATTCTGTATCACGGTAATTACTAGTTACTATTTCCGCTCAATTGATCCAGATACTTTACTGACATGCGTACTGATATATTTGAAGTATTATAAAGTATATCACAACAGGTGAATGCCAAGAACGATATGTAAATTCATCGACTGATCAGATGACGTCGAAAACCAGTCTGAATAGTGGGATTAAGAATTCGTGACTGAATACGAAAATATCTTTAGGAAGAACATGTGGATAAAAATGAATTTAATCAGTGTAACAATCTTTAAAATGCTGTCATATGTTAATTTTGACAAGTGAACATCAAATGTGTTCCTAGTCTCAGAACCATTGTCCTGTCGTTAACATAACCCTATAATTTTGATGTTAACGGTAACTTTTTTCCTATGCTAACCATGATTTAACCCTAAACCCTAACATTTACTTAACACTAACCACAATGAAGTCATTGTCGTTCATCCTAAATTTAATTCTCAGCAGGAGGTCATGACAAAACTGCAGAGTTTAGCTCGTGATTAGTATGGGTGCCAAATGAAAAACACTTATATAACATTACGATTATTTGTTAACATTTGTTATGACAGACTTATTATTCTGGACATCGTTAATTTTTAGTGTGAAAATTACTTTCTCATTTTAGGCTCTCAGTCGGAATATCCCCATACTTACTGCAAAGTGTACAAACCAGACTTGTCAGAACCATTTGTGTGTCCACATTTAAATAGGCAGTCAGTCATATCTGATCCCAAGGTTGGTAGGTTTTGGTTGATTTTATGGTTGGTGTGAAAATACAATTTTGAACTAACTCAGTTCTACAACATTTCTTAAATTTCGTTTGTAAGTTCAGTGTGCTTTTAATCTTGTGCTGAGGCCACCCAGGCGAGTGAAGTTTATGGATCATTTACTTGTTGTGCAGACTCGTAAATCCTGTGCTGAGAGTTTCCACGTTTATTTCATTAAAATTATTTGAAGTTGCAGTTTAATTCCCGTACCTGATAAAGTCGACAACCGATTACTGCTTGTTGTTGTGTTATCGACATGGTGCAAATTCTCTAAGTGGCATTTTCTGGATGGGACATACTTGTCTATAGTAGTGTTAGTTAATCCTATCTCAATGGATATGTGGTTCATTGACTTCAGCTGTTGACATACACCGTTTTGAGTCCGGGTTCGGTTCCTGCTCCATTCACTTCAGCCTGAGCAACTGGACAGTATTATTACCTCATGCAATCATTATGGCTCGTGGCCCAGTGCTTGAGAAACGTGTTTCGGTTAACTGCATGCTAACTAATTAGTCGATTTTACCTCGACATCATTCTGTAATGTTTTTATTTCGTTGCAAATGAAGCATACTAATTAAGCAAGCGAGTGATAGCATCATTTGGTTCAGTGTGAATGGTATGTCGAAGTGTAGTTGCCCTCATGTTTCTGTACTATCCTGTTACTGTGGTTCCTTCTGTAAAAATGCACAACATAGCTAACACTTAACAAGTCTGTTTTTCCATATCCTAATGAAAAGTATGTGTGAAATGGTTTCAGATATCGTGTTTGTGAGAATTCAGTTGACTGCAGTGTAGATTTTATCGCGGACCTATGTTAGTTGAAGAACCATTAAAGCAGCTGTGTAATGCTCTCGAGTTTTTAAGGGTTCTATAACTGGTGGAAATTGTTGAAGAAGTCTACTATATAATGACTGAGTATTGTACTTCGTAACTGATTAGATGTGAACATTAGATCTATTATTATTGTTTCAGACAGGTGCCCGGAAATCACCTTTCACAAATCGATGTACTTCGAAATTTTCTGATGTACGTACTATGAAGGATTTATTTGAAAAAGGTCTACAGATTTCACGTAAGTCTTTCTCTGGAACTTTTTCTCGGACCTTTAAACCTTTGTACAACGACTTTCTTAAACCTCCCGTTATTTATACGTATGGGTACTGAAGGAAAGTGCATTTACACTTGACTTAAAAAAGGAAGCAAAAATATTTGTTTAGTTTGTTTATGGTAGTTTTGACAGCAGTTTTATAATCAGTAGACCTAAATTGGATTTACTGAGAGATTTTCACAAGAAATGTTGGTAATATTGTAAATAAATCCAATAGACGTGGTAATCCCGGACGAATATTATTCATGTTCGTACTCAAACTCCTGGAAGTAAGTTACTATATCCTTTATGCCGTCTAATATATGTTCATTGGTGTGGGTGGTGACATACAATATGTCTCTGTAACCGAGCACCTAGTAGATTTATTAAATAAGAAATAAATAAGTAAATAAGGAATTCTGTCGGAATAGTATATAATGGAATCGTATTAGAGTAAAGGAAGACCAACAGTTTTTGCAAAATAAAATAGCACCATCATTTATTTCGTTGAAATAGTATTACATCAAGATATTTCATCATTTTGACTAATGTATAACTAGCTCTCATTGTTTACTTTTCTCTGACAGGTTTTCGACGTTGTTTGGGAAGACGCTACAGTTTTGGTGAATCCTTCGCGTGGTTGCAGTATTTAGAAGTGAGCTCCACTAACAAAACTTAGTCAATGTTCATCTAGGTTGATGATAAAATACAGGCTTTCGGATCGGCCCTGGTGAAAGTTGCTGGTCATATTCCGTGGGGCGACAATTGTGTTGGTATTTATGGACGTAATTCACCTGAGGTAAGTTGTCCACATCCTAAATGCTTTCGTCGAATATTTTTGTAGTCACCTCATTTTACTTTTCGGTCTACATTTACTTGAAGATCCGAGTGATGAATTTCACTTTACTTAACGTCAACCGACCTATTAATGAGATTAAATTTCTCGTTTTATTCTGAAGTGCCATTCTTGTGAATTAAGCAGGCTTTCTGACGTCATGTATTTGTAGTTTAACTCAAACCTTAAAACGCAACATACATTATTACTGAGTACAAATACTCGACCTTGTTGACATGCGTTTACGATATGATTCATTAAGAAAGTTCTACGCGTTTTGTGTCGATGAATTTATCCTACGTGTTAAGCTGTGTAACGTGGACTGCCAGGTCCATTCAACTCTCGTCGTAATCCATCTCCACTTTCCCTGAATTGTGTGACTTTACAAAGTGTCGCAACTTTGACTGCTTTATCTTTCCCCCACAAAGTTCTTTGTTGAACTTTTAGTCAGGCATATGACTGATTAGTATGATGAACCGAAATAACTGTCTTAGTTTATCGAATCAGAACAGAGATGTAATCCATAAGTGTGATGTATTTTGGTGCTCTTTTTTCTTTGCATAGCGAATAGAACATTACACTTCAAGCTTTGAAGTCTCGGTAGTGATGATGCTGGTTTTACGAGTTGAGGTTACTAGCCTCGCCAATGTTTTGGTGTTAGCAGTTTATGGTATTGGACAGTGCATTGTATTTTAAAATTTGTTGATGCGTCTGTGTTGTATGTAACTGTATGGATATCGAGAGCTTCCTTCACCAACGTTTCATTTCAATTAAATAATAGAGTGACTTGAGTAAAAGTTTCTAGATGTCATGTTAAATATTTCCTAGCGTACACAAGGTGTACTCTTATTTGTTCAGCTAAAACACTTTTTCACATTTTGAATTCCAGTCTCATCAGTTTCATTTTTTCATTAGTGGTTTATCACTCAACACGCTTGCGCGGCGTATGGCTTTCCCATTGTTCCAATTTATGCAACTTTGGGCGATGAAGCAATGCAACATATTCTTAAACAAAGTGAGTAGTGTCTTTGTTTTCTCCGCTTTTATTATACTTTGGTGTACAATTGTTGTCAGATGAAGTTGAATTTAGAAAACTACTAGTATTTATCTTGTATTTGTTATTGTGCAATAGATACATTGCCTGCTGTTTTACTGCGTAACTAACGAGTCCCATTGTCCCTTTAATATGAAATCGTTATCTTTTGTGCAAACGCAAACGCCTGGAAACGCCATCTAGGTATCTTCAGTAGGTTGTTGGCGACACAGTCTTGTCATCTAGGAATTTTCGGATTCAAATTTGCAACTTAGAGGGAAGTGATGTTCGGTGGCAAATCAACAGCTTTGAAAGCGTATTACTGTATCAGCTTCATGTGAAAGTTGCATACAGATTCAGTGACCAGTAATTATGTCTTACATCTTATAACTTTAGCTGAGACTCCGTGAAATACCTTCAGAAAGGGTTTCCATAATTATTAATATTATTTGATTATGTTAATTCATCATAATAAACTCTCTGCAGAAACTGTACGATAAGAACACCCAGCATGAGAGAATTATTCATTTTACAATGCACAAGTAGTATTATGCTTCCCATAGTCAAAAGGCAAACATAAATATCCCACAAAGTTTTTATTGAGTAGTTCCATGAATCTAGTTTTGCCGAATAATTTTCCATTGAACAAAATCCTATTACCCCTTGGTATGGTTCACCTCTGTCAGATTTAAGATGATATTGAGAAACTGGTCTCCATCGTCTCCTGTCTAAAGATAGGGAGTGAATTGGTTAAATGTGTTGACCACTCCACACATTCGGTTAATCGTATCAGCCCTAATGAACTGGTTGTTGACGAATTCTCATTGCAGATACAAAAGTTGGTGCGGTACTTGCTGGCTTGTGTCATCTTTATCGTTAGTGTGATATTTGGCTGTCCATCAAAGGTCGTGTGTACTGTTCAAAAGTTTGCTTCATCATATTTTTACGGCTGCGAGACATGACACTTAAAATTGGAAGATTTGAAAGGATGAGCGATTTCGACTGTCTGTAGCTCTGTGCAGTCACTCATTTCTGCTGGACAAATATAATCGATAATAAAGTTAGGTCTAGAGCGTGAGGTAAGCAGCGAAAGTCAGTCAAAAATGTTGTGAGGTTCTTTGAACTGTCTGTCTATCTGTTTTCGACATAGAACTTTGCACCGATGTGCGATAGTTCGAGTCGCCACACTCCCTCCTTATAGCACACAAAGCAACAGAAGAAAGTAGAAGAAATGCATAATAGAGACAGTAAACAGTGGTGTGAGACAAAGGAGGAGTAATAACGAAGAACAATATAGTTTCATTGGAGATCATAAGTCACAAGGAGTGTATGCATCTGTGCCATTGAGAACGAACACTTTGAGCCATATCACCAATTGTTTCCAACCATTAGATTTTAGCCTTCCGACGACTCCAACCAGGAAGTCTACATCTTCCTATGTGGCTGGCTTAATCTAACTGTTGTGGGTTTCGTTGACTAATGGAGTCATGTTTTAGTTTGACGGCCGCTAGCTCTTTTCCAGCCTGACCCTATATCAGCCAGCCGACATTGCCCGTCGAGGAAGGCGATGACTAGGGATGCATTCGTAACACATGTCCTAACCATTTCAGTCGGTGTAATTTCACAGCCTCGTCGATTGATTTCCCCTCCTTACCTAGAACTCGACCGATGCTTCATCTCAATATTGCTCACCTCATTATACCACTTCACATGAGAAATAGAAATTGTGTTGATAACGGAATCTGTTTTAATATCTGGATTTGTAGCAGGCTTTTTCGTTTTTTCGTCAAGTAATGCGTTTATTACTGATTTTATATACCGTGAATAAATGCTTCACTTAATGTGAATATGTAAGTCATAACTATACCCTTCCCATTTCCAACGAATGAGATACGGATTGGCATCATGTTCCACCCAGTGGAATTTGCTCAGCTACGGGATGCATGTTATTTCGCACCACATAAGAGTCGTTTGATTGTGGAATACACGGGATTACATGTGCCTATTAAAAATGCTTCGTTTTTCATCATTTCCTACCCTGAATATTTTATTCGTTCCCTTTCGCTTCAGAATTGCTTTACTTTGCATAAGCAGCGTCAGTATCACAACAGCACCACATAGTTGGAGTATGCATACTTCATCTGATAAGTTATTTTGATTAACCGCGAAATCTTATCATTGTGAATCACATAAAAAGGTTTAGTCTCAAAGTATGGAATACTTGATTGAATGACAGTTTTTATTCACTACACGTGGCTTATGCTAATTGTACTGTTGTAGTCGCCGTTGTTTTCAAGAGTTTGTGTGTACATTTCTAGTTTCTACCTTTTACTAGGGATTTTTGATGTTTTCTGTTTTGAGGTGATAATTGCTGAATGTTTCTAAGATTCGATTTGTCTTTTGCCTGTCCCTAAAGGTTTTAAACGATATTTAGAACTTGTCGTTTCTAACAACTCATGAAAATTAGTGTGAAAACTAAGAATTTATAATATAGCTTATAATAACGATCAGACACGAGTTAAAGTTTGGTTTATTTTTATCAGAATCTTTCTTTAAATTTTTAACTTATTGTTCGTTACTCTTTTTGTTTTTACTCCTCTTCGTCCCCAGTGGAACATAGGGCTTCGAACTAGAGGCTTGAAGTGTCGGTAGGAGTGGTATTTATTTTTACAGGGTGGGGTTGGTAGCCTCGTGCCCAACCTTCCCTCCTTATCAGACTTATTACTAGCTTAGCGTGGTGAAGGAGTGGGTCGGCGGGGCATTGAACCCCGAACCACCTGCGTAGTTGACGAGCATCCTACCGCTGTGCCACTGACGCACATTGTTTCTTATAAAACGTGTTAATTTACTGTGAATTATTCTCAGTATGTGATAGCATGTCCTGCAATCAAACGCAGTTAGCCTTCGCACTAGGTTTTAAGCAGTTTCGTTTATCTGACTTTTGCGATTGTCGTTGCTGACCGATGTCGGTAGTGATCAAGTAACTGTGCTTCATATTCAGACTGCTACAGTTGACTTTGGTGATTTCGCGAAGGCAGGTTGATTTCCAGTAATCAGAATGTTTTCATTTATAAAGTTATTTCATCGTTAAATATAACTTCCTATTGTCATGTTTTGTTTGTGGCATAACAGGCGAGATTCGAGTTGTCATGTGTGACTCAGGAAGGGAGGCGTGTCATATCCTAGGACAGTTCTCTTCTTTGATAAATGTTGTTATAATTGCACACGATGGTCCCAAGGTTGCAGAAGCCAAGGTTCGTTTTTCGGCCAATGTCAGTGTCTACTTGTTTGATGAATTCTTGGTAAGTGCTTCGGTATAACATGGATTTCAATTGCATTAAACAGCATTATGTGTCTTAACCTACGATCCATCATGGAGAGTAACTGTTTTCTTTGTTTATAAAGACAGGTGCTTCTAGTTTTTTTATGATTGCTAATCAGTAAATTATACTCTACGGGATTGAGACAAATTACATCTTAAGATGTCTGAAGACAGATAGTCGGGCTAGTTTTCCCAAAACTTGTTTGATTTTAAGGGATACAGGCATTCAATTGCTAAATAAAAAAGGAGACCTTATTTGGAACAGGTGGATAATATTGCCTTATAAGGCGAAGACCCAAGAAAGTGAAAGAACATTATTAGTTCACTTTGTTGTCTACAAAGTCTTACATGCTCTATGAACCTGTGTCCTTTATATACAACTAAATTGGGGATAAATTATTTGCTAGTGTTATATTTCCCTCTCTTGTACTCGCCTGAAATATCTGTTTAATTAACCAGTGTGATTGCTTTTACATATGCACTCTGATTTCTGTTTCCCTAAGATGTATATAGAATCAACATATTTCCCAACTATAGTATGGGAGGAATAAGAAGTAGCTCGTGAGGAATCTTTACTGAAATTTCAGTGAATCTACTGATAGACATCTTGTCTGAAGTACATATTTTAGGTTGTTATTCCTGAAGGCGTCGGTGGTATAGCGGTTAGGACGCTCGCCGACTATGCACATGGTCCGGGGTTCGATCCCCTGCCGACGCACACCTGATATCTATGGTTGGCCTGTAAAATTTGGGCTACCGATATCACATGCTGAAAAATTTCGACGCACTCCTCTACCTCGCTAAGCCGGAAATACTGCTGGTAAAGAGGAAAGTTTGGGGATGAGGCTAGCAACCCCATCCTGTAAAATAAACACCACTGCTACAGAAACTTCAAGCCACTTGCTTGAGGCCCGATGTTCCACTGGGAACGTGAAGGAAATAAATAAATATAAATTTCTGAAGGATTATTTTAGTTTTACAGACAGATGAAATCGTTTGTCCAACTTAATTGTCTATTCGAAATGTTTAGTAAGGTGTAAACACGAGTAATGAGTTTTATCTTCATATTTCACAAAGTGGCTTTTACATTTTTTGGATGGTTACTGATAAACAAACAAGCTAAAAGTAATTGACAGTGGATACTGGATGTTGAATTTATTTTAAGTTAGTAACAAGTACATAATAGTTGTACAGACACATTATAAAAAGCACTTTGCAGCTATTCAACGTGCTTTTATTTAAACAGGTAGAATGTCTGATAACACGTGCTGTCGAAAAATCTTAGCTTTATTCCCATCTAATTCAGTTGTATCTCGATTTGGTTCTTCGTTTTCTAGAAGGTTGGATCGAAGTATCGTATTCCCAAAATGGTGAGTTCCTTCAAACGCTACACTTTTAATTGTGGTAAAAAGTCTAATAGCTGAAAATATCTCATATCATTGCTTCTGTAATCACTTACTTACTATCCTTATTTATTTTGTCCTTGTGACTTAGTTTTGCCTTCAGTATATGTAAAGTCAACCTCTGGTTTTCAGTTTCAGAGAAGTTTTACTTTGAACTCACATTCATTGTGCACAAACAATTGTACATTTAACCGTCAATCTGGTAGATAGAAGACACGAAGGTGTGAAACATTTTCAAATAATTAACCTTAGAGATCGCCCACTAGTTATCCTACTTGTTGTTAAGTTATAAATTTTTTATGGTTTAATTCCTTCTCCGTAGTCTAACATTTTCGTTTTCCTCACAACCACTTATCAGTGAATAAATGTTTTAAATTCACAGGCATTTTATAGTTGGTGAAAAAGCTATGCAATGAAATCCACTCATCATTTGATTTCGCTTCCTTTTCATTACTTTATTTAAAGTGATTGAATAAATGACTATGAAATATAGTAGGATATCGGTTTTGAAGTGAATAGATCTTTTTATATAGGCTGTTTCATTTACAAAAAGTATACACGTTTTTGTTTAAATGAACTTTTCAAAGCAATTAGGTGTGACTGACTGACTGACTGGTTTCAACATGGAACTTCGTACAAAAGTGCAGCGGTTTGAGTTGCCACACTCCATGTAACACATAAAGGAAGACAAAGAGAAAAAAAAGTGATTCGAAAGAATGATAATAAGCAGAAATTTGAAGGAGAAAGAATAGTAACATGGAATGAAAACAAAGTTTTATCCGATATGGCAGATCACAGAGAGTGAATGCATCTACTCCATTGAGAATGATTTTTGACCCATGTCACCGGTTGTCTCCAGTCATTGTTTCTTGGCATCGCTAGGACCCCAGTCTACACCTCTCTACGTGGCTCAAACTAACTGACGGATTTTATGGATTGATGCCATATTTTCCTCTGACCACCACTAGCTCTTTTCCAACCTAATCATACTGTATGGTTATGAGCAATAAATTGTGTTCGAAACGTCAGCAGTGAATATTACTGTCAAACACTGGAAGAATTTAACAAAATAAAGTTTTCCCCCACAGTGCCCAAGCTCTATTCTTATACTAATCCTATGTCAGCTAATATTGCCCATCGAGAAAGGCGATGGCTAGGCATGCATGTCACATGTGCTAACCACCTCAATCGATGTAGCTTCACAATCTCATCGATAGATTTTCCTTCTTTACCTAACACCTGACGCCTAACCTTGATATTACTCACCCTATTATACCACCTAACATAAGAGATAGAACGGAGACACCTATGATCGAAGACAACTAGCCTTTTGATGTCTTCCACTTTCAATGGCCATGTCTCACAATCGTGGAGGAGTACGGAGCGAACTGCTGAGCAGTACACACGTCCTTTAGTTGGTAGCTGGATATCACGTGTACGCCGGAGATGGCGTTAACTGGCAAGTACCACAAGAGAATTTCGTATCCTCTCTGAGATTTCAGCCCGTTAGCTACATGTTCCCTACTTGAACATTTAAGTAGCCTGCTAAAACGAGTATATCTGAGCGTTTTTTTCTTTTCGCAACAAGCAAGACAACTTTTGATAGAACTCATCCTCTCTTTTGTCTGAACTGCATTTGGTTGGTACATAGGAGGAGATTATGAAAACAGTGACGGGTAACGCAGTCCTTCCTTCTTACGGATCACTTCAGACGGACAGCACACATGCAACTACCCACTGGAAGCCACTCTGGTAGGGATTTTCCTGCCCTCAATACAATCCCTGCACCTGCGATTCCTCGCAAACTAGCCGAAGAATCCCCTGACACCCTTAAGGTGAATTTTCCAAGCAGAAGGTCCTGACGTTAAATTCACCAATATGAAGTTGGTGGCATAGCTTTAGGGGACTATCGGTGGTGTTTTATCGGCTCTTATCGCTATTGTCGGTCACAGGGTGGAAAGAAGATCGGGTGCCTGCTTGTGGAATATTGCTAACGGTAGGAGAAAAGCAAGCTGATGAGAGTGACATAAATAAAGGTGTGTGATAGTCAGGAGAGCTTTGTGTGGTTTTGGAAGTGTATGGGGCGTGGGTTCACTCTCCGGCCGCCCACATCATGGAACCTGATTTTTTCGTGGGGTACCTGAAACAGAAAGAGAGTGTTACGTGACCTCAGAAGCCAAGAGACAACTGCTTGAGATCAGTCACACAAGGCTGGTTTGTACGGTTTTGGAGTTGTTTCCGTATTAGTAGCTTACTACCGGCTACGGAGACCACCCTAAGGCAAGTCGAGACGTACAGTTTCTGGGGTCAGCCTTTCATAGCTTGCACTCTTCACAGTGGACAGACAGCATAACCGGCATGCTAGTCATCTGAGTGAAACTCCTTACTGCCGTTACATCCATATTCCCCAGCATTACGATTGCCCACGAACCCTCCAGTATAGCGTATACACTTACACTGTGCCGGTAACTGCTTTTAGTCTAATCTTTATTATTGCTATATGCAAGGCTGAACACCACATCAAGGCAGAAGCTACCGATTGGGAATAAGGTATGAGTTCATTTTTAATTTAAATCGTGTAGAAGGAGTAGAATAGGGAGTGAAGAGAGAAAATTCCAGGATATTCGGACCAGGGAATTCATCAAATTACCAACAGTCGGTCTTGGTCGACATTTACGTGGTAGTCGATACAAATATCGTTTATGACTGATCGCTAAAGCGTTGGCTTACTATTCCTACAACTATTTAGATCTTCGATATCAAATTCTGTTTTACCTCTAGTTCCTGTTGGAATTTGTACGACAGATTGATTTGATACCACTACATAATATCAGTCGACAGTCTACGTTATCGCTTTTGCATGATATGCATGAAAAATTAGTTATTTCTTCATTTTTTATCTGTGTTTAGAATCCGAAACCCGATGACTTATACATGATATGCTATACTAGTGGAAGTACTGGTGAGATTTTTTCTTTGATTTGTAGTTAGATTTTCCCGTACAGTTGAAAACTTCGTAATGGTTCCTATTAATGAAAGCCGCAGAAGCACAACACTTTGTATGAGAATGCATAACTTCAAACTTCAGAGAAGGAATATGAAGCTAGATGAACCAAATGAAATGAAACAACAACAACAAACAAAGGCTTACGGAAGGGAGAATAACTCATCAAAGACTAGCGAGGATTTCCTGAGTCTGGATGATGACTAAGAGTAAATACATCTGCAACACTGTCGAAGACTTTGAGCCATGTCACCAAAACTCTACAGCCATTGATTGATAAGGCCCGACGGATCACAGGAAGTCGACACGGCGGCTCAAATTAACAGTCAGTCAAAGACTTCATGGGTTGGTGCTAGGTCATCGTTTGACTCACTTCCAACTCTTTTCCGACGCAGTTTGGTTTCGTCCAACACTTCTTATCAAGGAGAGCGGTGACTGGACTGTTGGTCTTCGAGTTTACGTGGCATTGATCTTCGTAGAACGTTTTTGTTGGATGGATGTGTGGTCGTCTTCTCGCTTGTCAGAGTCTGTCGCATGGTGCATTTCACCGTGATCGGGATTGTCATCGGTGATAATTAAGTAGCCTTTGGTTACATACACTCTAGGGCCTCTGATGTAATGTCACTTGATGATTTCGTCAGTGTTTAGTGCATCTCCGTATCGTCATACATATTTTTCTAGAAATAGATTCTTGGTTGGTTTGTTGCCAAAGTCCTTTATATGCAGATGGTCTTTGACTTCATCGATTTTGTAGCCCAAATAAGTTACGTAAAATCCTACTGAGGAAAGTTAACTTCTGATTTCATTTGTTTTGATTCTTGTCGTGATTTTTGATTTTGAGTTATGACATAACTCATGAACTTTAGGCATTAAACTTAAAGTTTTCATAATAATCTTATTTTCGCATAGCCTTTTTTCCAAAGGTACATAGATCATAGATTTACTTCCATATTTGTCCCGGTTGTGTGTTTTGTTCCCATATTTCACTTTTAATTTTTATCGATTTGGCACTAGTAAGAGCTGTGGCAAGGTAAATTAATGTACGTTATTACTATTTACTTCGTGAACCGATGGATCAATTAGTTAGTTTGTCTGATTTTGCTTTGAAATTATCCACTCAGCTTCAATTTAGTGTTAAAGTCCTATATAAATTGTTAAAATGGACATTATCTTCAGTTTCTAAAGCCGCCTCTTTTTATCCTCATAAAATTATGGATTAAAGGAAATAGATGACTTCAGTGCCAATTGTATTTGTGCATATAATTATACCTTATGGGATGTAACTGCAAGTTTAGAGTATGGTGTCCTTAGGATCGTCGAAATTATAGAAATATTTGTTGTTTATCGACTGTGAACAGTTAGCCCCTAGTTTTTGTGTCAAATATTCGTGCCTTCTTTGCGTTCATGTGGCCTGAGATATCAGGTAGGCGTAAAGCTTTATGCCGTATATACACATGCATGGAATTTGTAATCAGATGTTCAATCTACTGTTCATTTGGTTTTCATATAGGTTTACCAAAGGGTGTGTTAATTGAGCATCAGCAAGTTGTTGAAGCTGTATTTGCTATTATTGAAAATACTGAAGAAAAAGTAAGTAATTTTATTGTAGCGTTTTACACTTGGTTTTAGTTGATCAAGTACACTGATATGAAAACAAAACTCTGACATAACTCTATGAAACAGTTTGTCTGATCTAGCAAATATTGACATTACTCCCTGCCTGATGATATTCCTAGTACAATATGTTATTCAGCGGTGCGGCTAAATTAATGTTTTCTGTATCTCCGGTATTAAATTTAAGCCATTTCTTTCTTTTGTATTAAATGCTAAGCTGATGAACGAGAAAATTTAATGATTGATCTAAGTGAAATACTCTTTAGGAAGGTACTTTTGCCTCTATGCATTGTGACTGTGTTAGTGGACACAGTCACTGCAAAGTATTTAGGGAGTTAGCTTATTTCATCTAATCATGTGAATAGAATTTTCGTGTAAGTAGACGGTTCACAAGGAGTCGATGCATGTAGCTTGTCTATTTTAAACTTGTTAACATTAGTTGTATAGTTGCTTCATAGAACTACCTTTGATATTTCATTATCATACTCTGTGACATTATCGTTGGTAGATTTATTAAAAGGCGATCAACTGTGACATTCATTAAAATAGCCCAAACTTTCCCTCATTCTGAGTTACCATATGCGAATGCAGGTAAAAATATAAAGATGTAGCTACTATATATCAGCTCAAAATTCTATGCTGCTGGTGTGTTTTGACTTATTAAACAACATACACTGAGACGAAACGTTTTTATATCATAATTTCAGTGTTATGAAATAATGGTTAAAGTTAAAATGAAAGCGTCAGTGTTGCCCAAATTCCAACCACATTTATTTTGTAATTGTCTACACATTCATTATTATTCTGTTATTTTTATGAGAATATTGAAATGTTCAAATCAATTGGTTAGCTGACTGACAGCATTATCATCATGAAATTCTTGAATACAGATGAAATAAGTGACTTGTACAAAACAGGTTTCACTTAATAACATGAGTTTACATACAGTTCAATACAAACAAATCTTTGGGGTTAACAAGAGAGAGAGAGTAGTTTATTGTATTACAAAACTGTCCATAAGTAAGGAAGTCGAAGAAGCCATCTACTAATATGTATGTATGCCGGTAGGTATCCTAAACCATTTATTGTCAGTAATTTGTACTGAGTTATTAAACGGAGTCATTTGTTTATTTTTTATGAGTTGCCGTGATGCTTTATTTTACTGTATTTACTGTATTTCCTTCCATTGTTTCAGTGTTGTAACAAGTTTTCAACGCATCTATCATATTTACCATTCGCTCATATTATGGAACAAGTAAATTCTGTAAGTCCTTAATCACCTCTTCCAGAGTGTCATTTTTCTGTTATTTTGCAACAAACTATTTGTTTGGTGCATTTTCATATATGCAGTTACTTGGATGGAGTTCAAGTAGATGTGAGAAGACTTGTCTAGTTGGTTTTGGTAAATTTATAAAAGTCATTCTTAATATTTCACTAAAGATGAATAAATGTATGGTGATGGAGATAACCAACGAACCGCAACAACAACAACCAGCACCAATAACTATCAACGGGAGAGAATTAACATAGGTTACCTGCTTTACTTATCTAGGAAGCACGGTTTCAACCACAGGTAGTCGGAATGGATGAAGATGTCAAAGCCAACCAGAATCAGAGAGCCAAGATACGCTTTCATCAAACTGAAAGCAGTTTGGAAATCTTCTGCACTCCACCTCAGCATAAAGAACAAGACTCGGATTTCCAACACAAATGTGAAGACAATCAATACTTCGATGTGGGTGAGAAACTTGCACTGCGTGTGCGTCACGAAAAGGATTTCCAACAAGTTACAGACGTTTATCAACAGTTACCCACTTCAGTGGCTCCATACTGAAGATCGAATTGCCAGCTGGCCAGAAAGAATTAGCATCAAGAAACTCTGGCGTGGAATAAACCAACCAAGATCCGATTGCTCAACAAATATGTAGGAGAAAATGGAGATGGATTGATCGGGCATACGTTGAGAAGGCTGTCGAATGACATCGCGCGCAATGCAGGTTATCGCTCTAGTGGAATCCGAATGGGAAGCGACGAGTGGGTCATCGGTGCGAGTGTGGTCGTGTGTGGAGTAGATCGTGTGAGTAGGAGATGAGAGATTATGGTCAATCGTGGGCCTAGCTGAAGAAAATAGCACCAAATAGAACAAAGTGGAGATGCGTTGTTGAAGCCCTATGTTCCACTCGGAAACCAAGCGGATTATAATAATAATACGTCAGTTCAACTCAGGCAGTGTAACGGACAACACTTTAGTCTAACTTCTGACCGATGAAACTTAGCTACTTCATTTATTTTCACTATCTGCCTTTTAGAAGTAAATGGAAGAGTGTTTTATGTCATATTACATAATGTAATGCCTCAACCGCCGTTACAGCAATGGAACAAATCTTTGAAGTGTTTCTTTAGGTTACTATTTCTACTGATGACATTAAATGCAGTTTGCTGCGAGTGGAACTTTTATTGTCGTCGTGCACACATGTAATTCTATTCACTATGTCTATAAATTGACTTTGTTTAACATCTCCTCTGCTACTTGGAAATTATCCCATATAATGAAGCCGCCGAACTAAAGTGTCAGTAATATTGAATGGCATTTCTGCAGAATAACGGTGATTGACTAGCCCTCAAATCTACGGCCTATGAAATATCTACGGTTCATTTTTGATTCTTCTGGTCGTTGCTGAGGTCATAAAAGTATCTAGTCTATACAAGGAATTCTATAACCATTGAATGTTTCATCTCTGCACTCATTCTTTATTACTCCTCTTTCCTCCCACCTATGAAATAGAGTTAAATCCTTGATAAGGCTGTTCTATAGAAAGAAGTAGTGGGTTGAAGAATATCCATCAGCTGTATCTGTGTAGTCATGACCGGTGATTATCAATTGTTTTAGCCACATACTCTTCTAAAGCCAGATGAAATTATTTGTGAGCACCTTCTGTTGCGATATACTCAAAGCACATGGGCATGGAGAGGAAGACCAGGATACCTCACATCTCCCTATAAAAAGAAAGTAGTCAACGGGATTCCGCTAGATTATATGCCAGACACATTAATGATAGCACTCATAAAAGATGCGGATAAAGCTGTCTGTCACTCGATTAACATGTGACGTCAGTTAGGTAAGTGAAAGTTAAATGTACTTTTTTTCTAGCCAGACCTCAAGCAACAAGTGAGGGCGATATGTAGGTTGTAGGTCAGAGTATTAGTCCCGAAATGGAAAGATCTAAATTTACTTTTTCTGACTGCAACCAATTGTTAGTTGAGTCGATAGAAGACCAAGTGATGTTATCCTTTTTTTAAACGTTAGTGATGTACCATAGTCAATGTTATCTACTTTGATATTAACTCCGATATGCTATATGAATACACATTCTTCTACATCATTAACTGAGTGAAAAAAATCATCTAGGAGGTTATCTAAACGTCATTTGTTGAAAGTCGGTATTCTGCATTGAGTTAAATTCTAGAAACCACTTCTGGTTCTGTGTATCACTAGTCGTGGAACAGAATTACTGAAGGAAAGCCCGATAAAACGATTAGATCTCCTTTGTTTACTTTGTTTGGATGTGTTTGCATGAACTGATGGCCTAATTAATTCCGATGAAAGTCAGTGGACATTTGAAACTATATGACGTTTGTAGTGAAAGAGAGTATGGAACAGGGAAGTCACTCACCCTTGGACTCAAACTTACATATCAATCCGAAGACATGTCGGAAAGCATCGTTTCTTGAAAGTTGATTTGAGGTTTATTGTGAAACAGAATTAACCCCTCCTAATCATTTTAATGTTTTAAAAAATGAAGAGATCTACCGAAATACTGTCGGAATCGTGTGATTTTTCTAAAGGTCAAAGAGTGACACCTTGAAAATATGCCCGCATTTTCACTCATTTCAAGCTTTTAATAAATGTATTACTTCCCTTTTTTGCGTTATTCTGAACTTTTTAGTGGTTTTACCAGTTTTGAAAACAGTCTCGTACCCACCGGATTATATGGCAGTGCCGCTTAATCGATACCGATTGTGCATTGTTAGGCTGGAAACTCAGGTGACTGATGAATATGACTTTCTTGTTACCTTCACGATCTCATCACAGCCTTACTGTATGACCATGTGTGATTTCCTACCAATAAAATGGCCGTCATGTAGCAGGGGGAAATACGAAGTTGAAATCTTGTGCAAGTTGTTGCACTTAACAATAGTTTAAAAGGAGCATTAAGACAGAATAAATAATGAAGAAATACTCATGTCGAAAATATTATTTATTTTCTGGTTTATACAAGTTCCCAGTTTCCGCTTTGAAACTGTATACAACTACTAAAGTCAGAAATGATGTATCTTCTCTCGTATCTCTTCACACACAGAAGACTTGCGAATCTGTTCCACGCATTTATTTCTCTCCTCAGGTTTTATTCGTCAAAAACAGTGTATTAGTAGAGTTCCCTTTCTGTCTTATTTACCCACCACATTCTATAAGAAAGTGAACGTGACCGTAGTCCTGTTATTATCCATGAAAGGGGAGTCTTTATTTCCCAGATTTGAAACAGTTGTATTGTTAGTAAACTAGCTGAAAGTCATTCATTTTAACTTATCACTTGAAAACACAGACACTGTTTGAACATAAGGCTGTTGATAGCCATACTGTTGTTCTCAGTACATCTCTTTAGCATAGCATAACTGACCATTTCTTGCTTTGCTATATTATAGTCTGTTGTGCTTATCGAAGGTGCTAAAATGGGATTCTTGACAGATACCGTTGATGGACTAGTAGCTGACTGCGCAGCTCTGAAACCAACTATGTTAACAGCTGTTCCTCGTGTCTTATCACGAATATATTCGAAATATCAAAAAGCTATTGGTGGATCAGCCTTGAAAACTCGTATGTTTAACCATGTGCTTAAGCAAAAGCTTGGTGAACAGAGACGGTAAACCATTTTGTCTTGTTTTTTGTTGATATGTTAACTATTTTTAAATAAGTATTTTAATTAGCTTTTCATTTCACCGTTTAGAAATGTTACGAAGCTTGTTTTCAGTGATATAGGACAGGATAATTTGAAGTTTTAGTGTCAATTTTGCTTACATACTGGTGCATATTGATGTATAAACTTACACTTTGTTTTCTGTTAATTTTTTAGTCTGATGTAAGTAACTGAGCTCACCTCCATCACTCTGTACTTCATAAGGTATCCCTTCATGCTGAGGTGTACGTTCAGCGCCTTAAGAATGCGTAAAGCAATTGTCATAGATTCACGCTTACAGAGGTGCGAAATGATTAGTAGGTTTTTGAGTTCAGTTGCTGGGTAAGCAACTGTCTACAGCAAAGTTAAATATCACAATCTCCGGGTGAAGGATTTTGTCATTTTCCTGAGAATATTTTGAAATTATTCAGTAAAACATGATGTACATACTTTGTTATCGCTTACATTGATTTGTCACTTTGTCTTGAATAAAATTCAGTTACTAATCAAAGTAAAAGGATACCATTTGCTTATAAAGTCGTTGACTTTATTTTGAAAGGTATATTTCGCCCTGGTGTATGATTGTTATATTTAAGTTTAAGTGTAAATTTGCCTTACAAGGGAGTGTAACGTATACTGATACATTAATATTCAGAGGACAAAAGGATGAAACAGCGGCTGTCCAGTACTTCCTGGTTTTCAATAGTTCTCTAACTGATATCAATCCGTGATCAACCCGTAGAAAAAATTGCAATGGTTCCACGAGTGGATTACATAATGCATAATTTGGGCAAGTGATGGTCTGGACTGGTTACGCAATAAGGATGAAGTAGTCAGAATAATAAAACATTTAGGACAATGGTAACTTGTAAACGGGCAAGGGTAGGGGAAAATTGTTAGTTTTTTACATTTATGTAATAATGGTCGAGGTAAGGAAAATGATGTTAGTATTTTTCACGCTAAGTTCTTGTATTTATCAGCTAGTGAACTGTTAGTCTGATACTACTTGAATTATATGACTTTCACTGCAGGCACTTGATGTTTGAATTTCACTGAGAATCAGCGTGTTGCTTGATTTATGTCAGCTTCTGTGGATTGGGATAATTTCCCGTTCAGTCTTTATTCTCGTTTTACTGTTTTCAATAGAAATAAATAAAACAGTTGAATCGTGTTTCAAATGGCTACTGTGTTGGAATTGTTATCTAGATGACAGCTGACAACACCAGTTCTGTAGTCCTATGCTGACAAGTATTTCATATATGCTTACTTTTACAGTCTGGTTCACAGTGTCATCTGTACTAATGCATTAAGTAGAAGCTTGAAATGGTGAATCGTCTGAAACCTTAACGTCGGTCTTAGTGTTTCTCTTTGAAAAATGTGTTTGGCTATTACTGTAATACAGGGCAGGAATATTCCTATTCGGACGTCCGGAATTACTTTTTTTGGAGGTTTCGAACTGGACTGCTCTACATGTTACTTTGTAATATGATATTCATTCGTTACAACTCAAAATGTGGTATGTGCCAACAACTGCTCAATTTCGGTGTTGAGTTTCTCTTTGTTTGGCATCTAATGTCTAACATTATATGCAGTGTCACATGAAGTCGTACTGTTTATCACATTCGCCATATTTCAAATTTGAATTTTAGATGTTCAGTATGCAATCTATATTGGTAAATATGCCGTCGCAGATTGTTGAGCAGCAAATTACAAACACTTTGAGATAATTTTTCAGAATAATTTTTATTGAAATGAAGGTCTTGGTGAAATAAAGAGAGAATAAGATGATTTTATTTGCCTGTGAATTCTCGTCACATTAGTTTAAGTCTTCCTACGCCAGTGTGATCACTTAATTTCTTAATTATAGGCTTGTCTGTGCTTCATTGTATCCTTCTGAATTTGTCTTTGATTGCGTGTACTGTCGATTTCGAAATGAATTAACCAATATTCATTTGTTTTGTCTTTACTAGAGGGAAATTTAACCATCAAAGTCTTTTGGATACACTTTGCTTTAAAAAGCTTCGCCAGGCTCTTGGTGGACAGGTTTGTGGCATAATAACTGGTGGTGCACCACTCTTACCTGAAATTCATGATTTTATACGCGCGGTGTTTAACGGCCTCGTAAGTCATAGTTAAATTCTACTAACTTAACTGTGTATAAATCTACAAATTTGATGACTTGTCTATTTGAAATTTCTTTCTTTTGAAGGAATGAGTTACTGTTTTTGATGAGTCTTGTCTTTATTGAAAGTCAACAGTATAGAAATACTACTACTTCTAGATGTATATCCTTGATTCGATTCATAATGAGGCATAAATATTTTTGTTAGCACCCTTGCTGCCCACTGTGTTTTATTTGTATTTGTGTTTGGAGTTCGCATTTAAGACTCTTAGTAAATTTCTTTGACATCCTATGAGCGTTTGGTTCAGTCGCGTTGGCTACAGGTTTGATTTCAAGCTGAATGTGTTTGTGTTTCAACATTATGTGGTATCATATAAGCGAGTGACAAACTTAAGAATTCTTGACTGATTTTTGAGGTTTGAATACAGTCAACCACTTCATAAAAATCCAAAATTCAAAAAAAACGTGTGTGTCATTTTGGAAGATTTTGAGACGTTTTATCTGCTGTTCGTGATCGATAATTTCGTCTTATGCTTTTCTGAATTCGTATTCATTAAGATACTAATCGGAGTATAGTTTCTTCTTTATGTCACCTAATTTTTAAACTGTATTGCTGTATGTGGCTGATAGTTGCGGGCTGTGTTCAAATTCTAGCTGATTGGTCATTCTTATGGTGGAATGGATTAGATACGTATTTTTTGTCACTATTCCTCTGTGTAATTATTACTGTTGGTTACAAACGCGCTGTAAATTCCCCTGGCTTCAGAAACTGCTGATAGTGTGTGATTATGAAGTCGTCTCCAACATATTTATAACTTTAAAGAAAGCAAATATATGGACTGTTATTATTCTAAATTCATAATTTTAAATTTTCCTTCTTGTTTTTGTTGAAAACAATTTAGATCATTGAAGGTTATGGTTCTACAGAAACTACTGGAGTCGTAACTCTTTCAGTTGTTGGAGAATATCGGACTGGTATATTGGGCTCTATTGCATACAGTGTAGAGGTGAAATTGGCTGATGTACCCGATTTGGGTCTTGTTGCACAAAGGGATAATAGAGGAGAGGTGAGGTTTTAGAATCCATGATATAAATCAACGCTTGTGGTTCCCATTCCGTAATATTCATACTGCTCTCTTACTGATGAGCTTTATTATTATTATCAATATTATTACTGCCATTCTTAATACTACTTCTAACAGTAATAATGTTGGTAATCATCCTCATGAACCTAATAAGAGATTCATACTTAGTGATAATAATTAACAAGTGCTAATCCACAGAATTTGTCCTCAGTTAGCCAAAGCGATGTGTTTTACAGCCTGCCATACCAAAGTTTGTTCACTTGCCTCCCATAATTTTGAAGTGTGAAGTTTGAGGTAAGGAGCGAAAGTCAGTCAAAAAGGTTGTGAGGTGCTTTCGACTGAGATGGGTAAAATGCATCTGACACATGTCGAGTAACCACTCTCCTTGATAATCAGTGTTAGACGAAACCAAACTGCGTCGGAAAAGAGTTGGAAGTGAGTCAAACGATGACCTAGCACCAACCCATGAAGTCTTTGACTGACTGTTAATTTGAGCCGCCGTGTCGACTTCCTGTGATCCGTCGGGCCTTATGAATCAATGGCTGTAGAGTTTTGGTGACATGGCTCAAAGTCTTCGACAGTGTTGCAGATGTATTTACTCTTAGTCATCATCCAGACTCAGGAAATCCTCGCTAGTCTTTGATGAGTTATTCTCCCTCCCGTAAGCCTTTGTTTGTTGTTGTTGTTTCATTTCATTTGGTTCCTCTAGCTTCATGTTTCTTCTTTGAAGTGTAATTTTTTTGAATCTATGCACTCTTGTGCAATTATCTGTGTAGATAAAAGTGACACTAAGGTTCATTAATTCCTTGTCTTTGTTTAAATTTTAGTGTTCTTTATTCGCTGTAATATTTATTTATTTTTAAGTGTTGGTTTGTAGGGATTTGATTGGTTGCAGGATTTTCATCATGAGCTGACATTAATTAGAGAACCATTGGAAAACCTGGGATTACTGGACAGCTGCTTCGTCCTAGTTTGGGAATCATCGGCATTACGCACCCGCTTGGATTCGAACCCAGGACCTTCTGGTTACAAGCCCAGCTCGTATAACATTAAGCCTCTGGGACCCGATCCAGTGGCCCACAAATTCCAATTTCTGTCAATTCACGACATAGCGCGACCCCAGCCAATATCTTCGGCGAGTATTTCTCCTCACACCCGACCTGCTGCACCCTACTGGTCACGACTTCTCACTAGAACCAAAGGTAACTACCTGCCTGAATAGAGCAAGTCACTCATATAACCTAACCCGGTCAACATGGTGAATCTGAAAAATTCACTTTAAGGGTGTCCGGAGACCCCTCAGCTAGCTTGCGAGGACTCGCAGGTGTAGGGAAAGCATTGAGTGTTAGGGCGGAAAAGTCACTTCTTGACTGGATCCCAGTAGATAGTTGTATGTGTACGGTCCGTCTGAATGGGTCCGTTAGAAGAAAGAAAGACGGCGCTACCCGTCTTTGCCCTTCGTAGTCTCCGCTTACAACCCAACAGACTGCAGTTCGAATGAACTAAAGGATGACTTCTACCTGAAACTGTCTAATTTTCTGCAAGAAGCAAAACGTTCAGATATATTTATTTTAGCAGGCGACTTAAATGCTCAAGTAGGAAAGTTGTGCCAGTTTGCCAGACTTACCCTGAGGTAGCCTGGAACAACATAAAGTTAGCTGTAGACACATAGCTTTTAGTAAGCTAAAACTAAGAGTTAGTGAGAGCCATTGGATTTCTACCGCCTCATTCGAGCTGATTGACACAAGAAGACTGATTCTGGCGAGCTCGGATTACGATGAGGAGCGAAAGCTACTCAAAAGAAAACTAACAAGAGGCCTTCGCAACGACCGTGAACAGTGGTGGGCGGCGAAAGCGAATTAGATGAAAAAGGCATCGGTGACTGGTAACACCACATCACTGTTTAGGCTTATCAGTGAAACAGGTGGTAAAAGGCAAATGATAAGTGAAACAATCTCTGAGAAGAATGGCACCATAATTAGCTCCCAGGATAGACGACTGGAACGCTAAAAAGAGCACTATGAGGAGCAGTTTCATTGGGCTACAGCCACACTCAACCTGCCGAACATCCAACGCCCCCCTGAATGGGATATAGACACCGGTCCTCCGTCCCTAACCGAAGTTACTAAAGCTGTCACTAATCTGAAACAAGGCAAAGCAGCGGGACCTGATGGAATGACTCCAGAGATATTTCAGTATGGTGGAGACAGTTTGCTATCTCAGTTAACTGAGGTTCTAGGGAGCGTCTGGCAATGAGAGGAAGTTCCGTCTGTTTGGTGTATGTCATTGATTATCTCGATATACAAGAAGGGAGACAAGTCTTCCTGCGATAATTACAGGGAGATTAGCTTGATTAATATGGCATCTACAGTTCTAGGCCCAATAACCATGCATAAACTAAGCTATATTCAGGAGGAATAAACACGAGACAACCAAGCAGGCTTTAGATCAGGAAGAGGGTGTATCGCTCGTATCTTCACCCTTCGACAGATTCTGTAACGGAACATAGGCATACTTACTGGCATCCGTCAATCATCATACTTCTTGACCTGAAAGCATCACTTGATTTCGTCGACCGAGAGGTACTATTGCGGTGCTTGACTGCAAAAGGAATGCGAGGACGCTGACAAAATGCAGAGTCTTCTGAACCCCTTGAGGAGCGGCAGTCTTCAAATGATTGGTATGCGATTCGCTCCCATCAAATGTAAGATGATGCTACAGGAGTGGACTACACTGATTCCTAGTTTAGAAATAGGGAGTGAAGTGGTGGATCACATTGACCACTTCACTTGCTTGGGGAGTTGGATCAGCCTCAATGGGTTGATCTCTGACGAAATCTCAATACGGATACAGAGGGCTAGTTTCGCATATGCCAGTTTACGCCGTCTCTGGCGTAGACGTGACATCCGACTGGCTGTCGACCAAAGAGCGGGTGTACTGCTCATCAGTCCGCTCCGTCCTCCTTCATGGCTGTGAGAGAGTGGAAGACATGAAAAGCGTGGCTAGCTGTCTTTGATCATAGGTGCCTGCGTTCCATCTTACGTGTGAAGTGGTATAATAAGGTGAGTAATATTGAGGTGACGCATCGGTCGGGTTCTAGGTAAGGAGGGGAAATCAATCGACGAGGCTGTGAGATTACATCGACTGAGATGGTTAGGACATGTGTTACGAATGCATCCCTAGTCATCGCCTTCCTTGACAATGGGCTATATTGGCTGGCTGACATAGGGTCAGGCTGGAAAAGGGCTAGCGGCCGTCAAACCAAAACATGGAACCAGTCAATGAAATCTACAACGGTTAGTTTAAGCCAGCTAACCACGTAGGAAGGTGTAGACTTCCTGACTGGTTGGGGTCCTCGGGACGGTAAAAACCAATGGTTGGAAACAATAGGTTACATGGCTCAAAATCGTTCTCAATTGCGCAGATGCATATTCTTCGTTATTACTATTCCTTTGTTTTACACTTCTGTTTACTGTCTCTATTATGTATTTCTTCTGTTGCTTTGTGTGCTATAAGGAGGGATTGTGGCGACTTGATCTGCCGCACTTCGGTACAGAGTTCTATGTCGAAAACAGACGAACAGACATTTATTTTATTTTCTGGATTCCTTAAACTTTCTGCATTGTTAAAATCCTCAGAAAAAGTTATAACTTATGTGAAAATGTTTGACGTGGTTCTTTGAACCACATCAATGCACTCACGTCATGTACTCATGTTGATAGTTGGTAAGTTGTATAACTATCAGTGAAGAATGGCTAGTTATTGCGATTCGAATAAAGAATAACGCAAAGTGACGTCTATAAATACACTGCACTGTGTGTCAATTTTGATTACAGTGATTACATGGAAATAGAACACTGTTAGTACCAACAGTATATGTAGTGCTCAGGCAAATTTTTTGTTTTATTTTAATGTAAATAAGAAAAGACAAACGAACTTCCTCCTTCATGTTTGATTGTACTGTCATGTAATTTTCCTATTTCACTTTCGCAGATTTGTGTTAAAGGTAGGGTATGTACGAAAGGTTATTACAAAGATCCTCAAAAGACAGCTGAATTAATTGATGCAGATGGCTGGCTACATACAGGTGATATTGGAGAATGGAGTCCAGTAAGATGCCGATTTTTTTAACCTTTTCTTCGTTTACTTTAAGATTTTCTTCTAGATGAATATTTTGGGTGTTTTTCTCGTAAATTTCCCTAAATATTTGGTGAATCTTCGATACCAGTCGTAGTTTTTTTATAATTTTCTGCGTAGCTATATCTCATTTACTACCCCATATATATTTTTAGGTATGTTAACATTCAAGTGAATGGTTTATTTCACTTGACGTGGTAAGGCCGATGGTGAGTAGACTTCAATCTGCCCCGTGAAATTGTCTCACGCGGCCCTGCGTCCATAGCCTGTACCATATAAATCCAACTTACTATCTCCTCAAAGAAGTAAAAGTGTATGTGCGAACACCTGGCATTAACAACCAGGCCGGCCGATATGGTGATCTTCTAGGGGAACTGGAAAACCCTGATTCCAGACATATAGGGCACACCGGCTCCAGAATCCAAACGGATCGAATGGTATATAAACTTGTTTCGGTGGTCTGCAACAACTGCAACGCTGCTACACTGCCTTTTGGGTCATACTTGAATTCAAAGGGTTGGGGTGTGGTTCCTTAAGACAACCGCTTGCTTGGGTCTGGACGTTTGACCCTTGGCACAAACTTTGAGATTCTATGTGGCAAATCCCTTGATGCCCAAATTTGTGTTTCAGTAATACTATTAATTATTATTATTTTTTTCTATATATTCATTTCACTTTAATTGTTTATGGTTGTTACCGTGTTTTAATAACCATCCGTAGTGATTAATTAGACAGTTCATGTTGTGATGTTCAGGTTTTTTGATTGCCTTTGGTCTTCTAGCATGTCGTGCATCAAACGTTAGTGCTCTAAGTGAATAAGTATAGTCATAATATTTTAATATCAAAACTGGTGAACTGCACGTCGTGATTCTTTCACGTTTTTTTCTTTTGAGCTGAGTTTTACTGATGCTGCAATTGACTACAGACTTTGTCCTCACATATAAAAAGTGGTGAATTATTACGTCATCTGAGCGTAATAGCCAAGGCAAACTGTTATGAGATATATTTTAAGTGTTCTTCGTAATATTGTTTGTCACTGTATTCCTTGTTCACTTTAGGAAGGTGCACTGAAGTTGGTTGATCGTCTTAAAAGTATTTTCAAACTGGCTCAAGGTGAATACATAGCTCCAGAAAAAGTCGAAGCAATCTATCAAACCTGTAACCTTATCAATCAAATTCTTGTTGATGCAAATTCAAATTCCAGTTTTCTTGTTGCCATAGTAGTGCCAGATTTCGATGAATTGCGTGAATTTCTTAGTAAAAGTGAACCTGGTTTGCTTAATTTATCTGATCAAGATCTTTGTCAACTTGAAAATGTCAACCAAATTATTTTGAATGCCCTACATCAAATTGCCGTTGATAAAAAGTTGAAAGGATTTGAAAAAGTAAGTCATATAGAGAATTCTTATGATTAAGCTACATGAATTTTGATTAACGCCACAGAAAAATTACTATAAGCTATCTCTCCTACTCCAAATGATCTGGTTTTTATATGCAAGCGATTTTAGATTCTGTATTCCATTTTACCTAAGCTTTAAGCAAGCGGTGTATGCATCGGACTTACTTTATTTCAAATTTTTCATTGGAATACTAAACGCTTATGTATTAACGAGTGGTCGTCATCTCTTTTCCCATCACAAACTACTTTGTATTCCAGGTTATACTAATCAATCGTCTACTCTTTATGAGGTATAAACTTCATTGTTGTGAATATAGTAACAGAATACACCGGTATTTTATAGTGTCGAATACCCATGAGGACATTAGACAGGCATCAAACACACCTTTCTTATGATTTCATTCTCAATATCTGTACACTCGTGTTCTAGATGCATTTCTTTGTCTAAGTTCGCACATTGTTGCATTTATTATTTGATTCGACATAGAGACAAAGGTAAGATTTAAAGGAGGATAATTTTTAACTTGATACGAAAATGTTCACATCTTGGTCATATCCTTTTTTTGTGTTTGGTAAATATTGTTTTACACATTGCGCAACTATATTCATAATCCTGTGTTATTCCGCGGTTAATACACTTGAGACATTTTCTTATCAAGTTGAAAATTATTCTCTTCTTTATATCTGACATTTGTTACAATGTGAAATAAAATAAATTAAAAATATTGTTAACTTAAAAAGGAGAAACTTTACATAAATTACAATTTGTACAGTTATTGGGAATAGAATTCCCGATTTGATGATTTTATGAACTTTTTGTTTACTGTCTAATGTTATAATGTATCCAATCTTAAAATAAGATACAGCGGGATATAAGTACCAAGATTCGATGTATTTGGTCTGGTTTGTATTTAATTAAAAAAATGTTCACAGTGTCATCCTATGATATGTCTGATGCCAAGAGAGTCTAGTGTTTGAGTGTTGCTCAGTAAGAGCTGGGAAGTACATTTGATAAACCGATGTCTAATTATTCAGATAGTTCTTCTTTTTGCGATTTCATCGGTGTAGCCTAAATATTTCGAAATTTAGTGACTAATTTTTGAAAATTTTTGCTTAGAATTTCAACGTGTTACTTGTTGTAACTATGCCTAACTCTTGAAAACATTTCACTGAGAACCCTGAGATAAGGCACTCCGTTAGAAGTTATTTGCTAAAGGCAAATTGCTGAGGTTTCAATACACCATAAATAATACATTTGAACTAAGTGATCTTTGTATTTGTAAAATTTTGACCTCACCTAATTTGTTTTCTTTTTGTTTTGTAAACCGAATATAGTTGAAAAAGATTCATCTAACTCATGAAGCGTTCACAATCGAGAATAGCTTGCTTACTCCGACAATGAAAATTTCCCGAAATAAAGCTAGGAAGGTGTATTCTGAAATTATAAACAAGTTATGTGAAGAAGCCGTGTCTGAGGAAAATCACAAATAATTTGAAGACATTGTTCATCTTTGACTCCAAGAATATTGTTTTCTTCTTGTTCTTTTGCATTACTTTATCTCTTCTTAATGTGTTATAAATTTTGTGTATAATACATAGTTTATAACCATCTCCCTGGTTGTCTAATTCACAGTGTTGCTTGTCTTCTCATCTTTTTTGATCTTATTTGGTAACGAGCATATATATATACATATATATATACCCTAAACTATCTCGGATTAGGAGAACAAGCAATTTGGGAAAATGACAAACCGTTTAGGTTACATAAATGATTCTAGTAAAGCAAAAATTCTAAAGACTACCTAGTGGTGTATTCTTTGGAAAGCTGTCTGAATTTGTAAGTCATGCCGGACTTTTGAAACTTGGAACGATCTTCCAATGAAGCGTTCATCTTTTCGATATAGTCACATTTGTTCGTAATTACTGTGCTCAAACCTTTTTCACGTCTAGTGATAATAAGAATGTCATCTGACTTTAGCTTTCTGAGGCATCCTTTATGTTTCTTCGTTAATATGCTTTTCATTTCAAAATTGGCATTATTGTACTGGTAACAACAGTCAACAACGGTACACTTAAATCTCTCTAACCCACATTTAGGTTATTATTATTATATCCTTTAATTCCTAGAGGAACATAGGGCTTCAGCTGCCCATCTCCATTGCCTTCGGTTTTCTGCCGACTTTTTCACCCCGCTCCAAGTCTGCTTACATGCTCTCATCTTCTCTTCACATGACCTCCTCCAAGTCACCCTTGCACTGACGATCAACTCGCCGCTTACTTTTCGGGTTCCACTCGAGCAATGGCTTGTCTAGTGATGTCACTTGATGGTTTTTTCAGCGTATGGCTAATCCATCTCCATTTCTTCCTGCCTATTTGTTTCACTATCTGTTCCTGTTTGGTTCGCTAATTGCCAGAGATCCCTGTTGCTGATTTTTTTGGCCATCTGATCTTGAGTATTGAGTGAAGACAACTGCTGTTGATGAAGATCTGAAGATTGTTTGAGATGCTCTTTATGACGCGCCGGACGAGTCTCTGATCCGTACAGTGAGTAGCACTGACTTCACATTGGAGTTGAAAATCCGGATCTTATTTTTGATGCTGAGTGCTGTTGACCTCCACACAGATTTGAGAGTAATTAAAGCTTATCTTGCTTTTCCGATTCTGGCTTTGATATCCTCGTCAGTTTCGCCTGTAGTTGAAGGTTGTTTCTTTCAGGTTCCTCCCATTTATGCTGATTGTTGTCTGTTGTTGTTGTTGCTGTTGGTGGTGTTGGCCAGGAATCTTCATCACCTCTGTTTTATCTATGTTCACCTGAAGTGCTGTCTTTGATGCTTCTTCTGCCAGCTTGTTGCTTTTCACTTGCATATCTTCCAGTTTGTGGGAAATCAGACATATACCATCGGCGAAGTCCAGATCCTCCAAGTTTTTTGTGTAGGTCCATTTTATGCCTGTTTCCTCATTACCCACTGTTTGTCGCATTATCCAATCTACTGCAATCAGGAAAATCATTGGCGATAGTAGATAGCCTTGTCTCACTCCCGTCCTCACTTCGAAGGCTTCCGTTGTGGATTACTTGGCATGCAGCATTGTCGTGTAACTGTTGGATGATATGTATCATTATCGGTGGGACCCCGTAGTAGCGAAGTAGTTGCCAAATCACCTCTCGATCGCCGCTGTCGAAGGCCTTTACAAAGTTGGTGAAGTTGAGATAGAGAGATGACTGTCATTCCAAGCTTTGTTCAGTGATGATCCGTAGTGTGGCAGTTTGATCAATACATGACTCGTTTCTCCTGAACCCAGCTTGTTCCGGTCGAAGTTTTTAACCCAGGTCGACGTGTTTGATTCTCTCCAGGATGATGGGGTTTAGTATTTGCTTGGGGTGGACAGGAGCATAATTCCGCGCCAGTTTTTGCATTGACTTAAGTCTCCTTTCTTTGGTAGTTTGAATAAGTATCCTTTCTTCCAATCCTCAGGTACTTTGCCCACTTTCCACACCTACTTCAGCAATGGCGTCATCAAGTCCGCTGTTGTCTCTGGGTCCATTTTCAATGCTTCTGCTGGGATTCCATCTGGTCCTGCTGCTTTTCCAGCTTTTGGAACCTTGATTGCATTCAGGACTTCTGATTTCGTCGGGGGGTCAATGTTCACTGGTAGTTCTGCTTCCGTTGTTGGGCGCGTTGTAGGTGGCGGACGATTTAGAAGTCTTTTGAAGTGTTCAGCCCAGTGTTTTCTTTGCTCTACTTCTTTGGTGATTGACTTTCCATTGTCATTCTTTACTGGCTTAATCTGTGTCGAACTTTTGCCCGAGAGGTGCCTAGTTGTTTGGTAGAGTGTGGCGAGGTCTCCTTTGCCTGCAGCTTGTTCTGCTTCACTTGCCATGGTTTCATAATATTTTCTTTTGTCTTCCCTGGCACTCTTCTTCACTCTTTTGTTCAGTGTATTGTAGCTTGCATTCAAATTCTGTTTTTGTTGCTCGTCGTGCACTGGATAATCTTTTGTTTCACTATCCTTCTCTCTTCTATTAGTTTCCAAGTGTCCGTAGTGAGCCACTGTTTGTCCTGTCTCTTCTTTCTGCCTAGAACTTCCATGCAGGTTTGACTCCACACCGTTTTCAAGTTGTTCCAGTGCTTTTCGACGCTGACCTTTTCGCTGGTGTTGATTTGTGTCTCGGCTTTTTCCCTTATGTTTGCAATGAAGATGTCCTTTGTAGCCTGGTCCTTCAGCTTTTGAGTGTTGAACTTGGCTTGTGGTCTATCTGCAGCTCCTGATTCCCTGAAAGCTTTTAATTTGATTTGGATTGTCCCTTGTACGAGATAGTGGTCTGAGCCAACGTCTGCTCCTCTTCTTACTTTTGTGTCCAGTAGGCTGCGCCTCCACTTCCTTGAGCAGATTGAGATGAAGTCAATTTGGTTTTTGGTTTGCCCATCTGGTGACACCCATGTAGCCTTGTGGATATCTTTGTGTTTGTATACGCTGCCACCAATCACTAGTTCGTTGAAGGCGCAGAAGTCGGCGAAGAGTTCTCCATTTTCATTCATTTCTCCAAGAGCTTCTCTACCCATGATGAGTTCCCTTCCTGTGTTGTCTGGTCCCAGTTTGGCGTTCATGTCTCCCATTAGTATTTTAATGTAACCAGCTGGAGTATTGTCCATTGTTGCCTGTAGTTGTCTGTAGAATTCTTCTTTCTTTTCGAGGTCTGCGTTGTTTGTGGGTGCATAACATTGTATAATTGACACTTTCCTTCCTTTGGAGTTGAATCTGGCGGTCATTATCCTGGACGAGATCGCCTCCCATTGCATCAGGGCCTTTGTTGACGTTGGTGACATCATGATAGCCACGCCCTCGGTGTGCGTGTGGTTATCTTCTGGGTGACCGGAGTAGATCACTGACTCACCCGTTGACAATTTGGTGAGTCCATTCCTGTTCCATCTGCTTTCACATATACCCAGTACTTGAATTCCGTCTCGTTTCATTTCGTTTGCGATCTGGGCAGCTTTTCCAATCTCGTACATGGTGCGGACGTTCCATGTCCCCACACAGACTTTTCCTTTTGGTGCAAAGGGATTCATCGTGCTGAAGTTTCTGTAGCAACTTTGTTTACAGGGTGGGGTTGCTAGCCACACGCCTGAGAAAGGAATTGTTACATTAAGATAAAGTTTAGAGAGAAGAGACCTTGTAGGTTGCTCCCCTTAAAATCGAAAACAAGGAATAAAACAATCAGAACAACACCAGCAAAAGGAAAATAATTCACGGAAAAAGGGTAAAAAGCGACACAACAATACAATACAACAATATTCAATACAGTTAAGCACAGTTAACTAAAATGATACCGAAACCATAGACTCACTGATTTGGGCCAACTTGAACATATAAATCCAACAATATATACAATTACAGATATGAGTTAAAAAGTCACAAAATGCCAAATGGTTAGTTATAGGTATTAGTAGTCAACAAGATTATATCCACAGGTTTAGTGTTTGAAAGTAGATGGATTGCAACAATTTACAAACTTCGTGGTAAAAAACAACAACAGAGAAGTGAGAGTTTTATGTAACTAAGCAATTTAGCGCACCAATCGAAAAGCGCCGATCAACCCACATTTAGAGGACGGTATTAAATCCTGTGTTTGAATTGAAAGGTTTTCAAGCTGGCCTCCTGTCTCTAAATGACCAATATTAGCCCTTTTGTTGCAAAATTTAGGACGCTTAGAAGTCTCATCTAAAGTAATACGTGAAAAGTTGGCAGCATACCCTTCAATGTCATTGGGAAAATAGGATTCAGATATTTGTTTGTATAATCCTTTGTCAGGTGGACTCGGATTTTGATTTCTCTATTTCTGAGACTTCATGCACGTGATTCTCTAAAATATATGGAAGTTCATCAATTGCATATTGTCTCTGTGACATGTTTCTTTTAAAAGTGATAAGGTATGTTTGTAGAGATTCGATCTGATTAAGAACGAACGAATCACTTGAGAGATTTCTCATTGGGCGTACTTTACAACAACAAAGTGATTTAGAGAATGATGTCGAGTAGTGGTTATTCTCGATACAGTTCCGGATAAAATCCACGTTCGTTGTCGCTTCAGCGAGCTTTGCACTATACTTCAAATACTCATTGGATGCTTTCAGTACAATGAGACGGTTACAAGATTTCAGTAAGTTGAAACACCCCATAGTGTAATCAGAACATCGTGATTTTGGGCGAACAGTCGTTTTGCGATAACTTCTTCCTGAGGCGCTATACTTTTAAATGCCTAGATATACCTAATTGTTTTACAGATGCAGCAATGTATAGTGACATAGTGAAAGCATATTTCCTAAATGTTGAGGAAGTTTTGACGAACAATGGTTAATCCCCGAAATTTATCAAAAGTAGGGTACATCTGAGAATTTGAAGGTGAAACAAATCACAGGTGTTCTGAAATAATGGTTGCTAGGTTCTATCCTCAGTTGTAACAGAATCACTCACTCACTGACTGGTGAATGAAGGTATATCCACTTTACAGTTTCTAAATGGGACGAAATGAGGGCACTGTATTCCACTACTAGTGATCACCCACCTATTTATGTCTCCTGTTTGCCTAGCAACTTCCGATTGGCGACCATTTGAGGGTTAGAGTCTCTGTAACTTTTCCAAGTGTAATAACGTTTTAATGTTAGCTTACCATCTCTTGCACGTCTGCTACAACTGCGTAGAATACTGATTAGGTTATTTACACAAGTGTTTTAGGAGAAGATTTATGCTTGAAATGGTGCATCGGTGGCACAGCGGTTAGGACGCTCGCCAACCATGCACATGGCTCGAGGTTCGATCCCCGGCCGACACACTCCTTTACCTGTCTAAGCCAGAAAAAATGCTGGTAAAGAGGGAAGGTTGGGCATGAGGCTACCAACCCCATCCTGTAAAAATAAGCACTGCTACAGAAACTTCAAGCCACTAGCTTGAGGACCTATGTTCCACTGGGAACGTGAAAGAAAACTTATTTATTTTTTTATACTTAAAATGTTATCATCAAAGAGGAATTAAACAAATTGCTTTTCTTTCTTTGACACAGCCAATAACTTGTCAAGATGGTGTCATCGTTTGACACAGCTACAGGAAGATTTGTGCCAAGTTAGAGAAAGTTTACTGCTGAAACCTTACTTCTTTTCTCATGCACTTTACATTCTGTGTAGACAATACCAGCGTTTAAGACTCCACTAACCATGAAATACCTTCGAAATAATTAGTAGGATAATGATTTTTCAGTGAATGGAATTAATTTAATGTCTTTAGTAGGTTTTTGGGAACTCTGAAAACTTGTGTAGACCTTCTGGTCAGTGTGTATATAGTGTCTGGAGATATGTGATCAACAGGCTATATGTACATTGGACATATTCACAAAAGTGAATGACCTATAAGAGAAAGAATTCAATTTTTTTCAGTCACTTCCGTTAGCTACTCAAACAACAAAGTCACGGCGATAATAATTTCTACATCTTTACAATGTCTGGAGAGATACTGTCACTAGTGGTACTTAAAATAGCCAACCAATCAATATAATTCTATTTTTAAGTGCATAAGGTCGACTAGAAAACGGATCACTGCGTGATGTAAGTTTGTAAGTGGTAACAAATTCCAACCGGGCACTGGGTCTAATTACCATTGTTTTTCAAATAGAATAAAGCACAGAAGTGAACACGAAACTATTTCATTTCTTTAGTTTCCTCTTAACTTGGTGCATTGTAAGGTGTGTGTGTGTGTGTGTGTGCGAAAGCTTTATCGAATGATGAAACAACTTATTTTAATGATTAATTCATGTTTGGTATAAAATGGCAATGATACAAGCCTTATATTTAATAAACCTAACCGATGTAATCTAAATGAAGTTCAACCGTAGCAGTCTTTAAATCACATTAAATTATAAAACTACAGTACAGTTATTTATCACCTATACTATTACTTCTCATTAAGAATTAAAACTGAGAGATTAGACATTGAAGAAGGATGAATTTAATTAATGTTTTGTATGCCTGTACTAACTATCTCACTGATACCTGATTAACAGAATATTGAACTGAGTGATCAAAGTGCTATTTAGATGACACACTTGGCATTATTCAATATATATGAAGAAACAGTAATTGTCTTTAAGTTCTGTTTGAATAAATAGTGGAATGCAAACTATCTGACAACTTACTGTTAATATGACCATATAAATAGAAAAGTATTGTGGTGAGAGCTGGCGGTTAGCCAAAATTGGTGGACAGTAATTTACGTCCCCAATATTGGTAGGGAGAAAAATGAGAATAAAGGCTTTGCGTAGGCGGATACAGTTAACATATAGATGATCTGACATTCAAGAAACAGCCACAAAGAGATGCGAGGTTGACTTTGTGTGAGAAACAAGCAATCAGAGGACTGTGTTTTCCTGCTAACAATAATCTATAATATGTACACGAAAATCTATAAATATGTGTTGAACAATGCAAGAACTACAGTTTTAGCAGAATAAAATGGTACCATCTTTTATTTCGTTGCCTTCTCGTCAGCTGCTTACATGGCAAAAACATTATTAAATATATCTACAACAACAATTTTAACATACTTGCACAGAGTTCAGTTTAAACAAAAAATCAATCGATCAATATACGCATACACTAAAAATATATACATATATAAATATGCAATATTAACCACTATTCCGAACCATTTTATTCTGCTAAAACTGTAGTTCTTGCATTGTTCAAATTCATTAAGGGGAATAAATGTATGAAATATGTGTTGATTTCTTTAATAAACGATGTTGCCTGACTCTTGCCTTCTATCCTTACAGTAGTAATTAAAGTAAGACAATTATGATGATCTTATCATCAGGTAACAAAGAAACCGTCTATGATAATCATATGTAGACTATACAACCAAAAGAATAAGCCGAATGTCGTAAAGCTGCGGTGGTACTACTTATAGCACTGAAGTTCATCAGTGAGCAGTTATCAATACAAGAAATTATAAAAATACCTATCAGTCCTTCTGTGAACTTGTGTTTCATTTAGTGCCATTGTGTTTTATTAGTTTCTACGTTTTTACTGAGAGACTGAAAGGTCCGCAAGCATTAAACATTGCGATTGCTCGTCATCTTTTAGACACTGGTCACATTGTAGACAACCTGAAGTCGTTCAAAATAATCAACAAGCAAAAGAAACCTAGCTTGCTACGCTTTGCTGAAGCAATTTCCATCAAACGACTTAAACCAAATCTATGTACGCAGAAAGAGATAGTGGTGAATATTGCACTGCCCTGGTGATAACAAAAAAATATACAACTTTCACGAGTCACCGTTTTTATGTTTAGAAAACTCTACTCTCTCATCTAAACATGACTCACCCTACCTTGTTTCTTTCCTTTCCTTTTCTCTTTTGGCTATTAGATAAGATGTTTTCTTTAGTTATGTAATCTACTTTTTTGTTATGCTCTTTCTAGCTAAACCTCGTTTCTATACACACATATATGCGTAACTCTGTATTGTTTCCAAACCTAATTATTCTATAAATAGTCAGTGTTTGTAACTCCTAATCAGTTAAATCATTCCCGACTAATGTTACTTTTAATTCCTACCAATTACTCCTTATGATCGTGGAAAAGTATGTTCATACCTTTAATGTAATTCATATTTTTTAACGTTCAGGTTGTAACCAGTTGAGAAGAATCCTCGGTTAAATAATAAAAGATGAGCTCATATTAACCTGGTACAATTGTTATTCTTGCTTTGTTCAAGTTTTCTGTATAGCTGGTTATGCTTCACCTCTTATATTGTTATTTCATTCAGTCCATACACCGTATTTATGACAACATAGTTCTTCATTGAATCAGGTTCCTTATCGCCGTGAAATTTTATAGCACTTCTTTTGTCAAGTAATTTTTGTGCTTTTGAAGGTAAATTTTCCCACCACTGGAATTCAGGTGGAAGAAAATTTGATATCTGCTTCTTTCTGGCCTTCGAACACTAAATATTTAAAAGTCGTTTTCTTAGCAATCAGTGGTCGCTTATGTTATAAGATTTGTCATGTAGTAGTAGATTTTAATTTTAGCTATTCAGAATACTAAATATTGCACAGTTGCTTTAAATAACTTCTTCATCAAGTTTAGACACAAATCCAGTGGTAATAAAAGGTAACAGTCAGTGAAAGTGAGAGTTAAGGATACATCAAAAAGTGGTATAATGGATAAAACCGAATCCAGCAAAACTTAAAAACGAAATGCTTAGTAGCTAATTTTGATAATTGATTGAGTACATGAGTCGGTGGAACAGTGGTAGAATGTACGCCGACGCATTCCTTTACCTCGTTAAGCCAGTATTAAGAATGGTGAAGAATGATGGTTGGATACGAGGCTACCAACGTCATCTAATGAAAATGAATACCACTACTACCGAAAACCCCAGATTGAAGCCCTATATTTCACCGGGGACGTAAAGGAATAAAAAAAATACACACATACACACTGAATAAGCTATATAGATATCAAACAAATCTATCATGTAGCAATTATGTGAATTCATGTTTCGTGATGTAAGTCGTTTGTAATTGGTCGGCCTAGAAGTGAGGATGATCAAAGTAGTTTCACAAGAAATCAGAGTGCTGAAAGTGTAATTAAGAATCTTTTTATGCTAAAACATGAGCTGGAGATGTCTAGAAGGCCGATGAAAGCTTCGCAAATAAATCAACCAACTCAGAGAACACAACTAATTCAACAGTACATAGTTAAGTCTGTGTTGACCCCATGAAAAGCAAATTTATACAAAAAGAATGAAAGTATTTATATATTTATACAAATAATTACTTTCTACAAGCCGGTAAATCTAATTGCATGCACTTTAAAGTGCCATCGTTTCTCTTCTTGTCTGGTATGTATATGGTTTAACTTATTTTTTCTTATCTGCAATCAGATAACCTTCAGCATATTGAAAAATTTAGACACAAAACATTTATTTAGTAATCTAAGAGTCTTACCATAAGTATTTGATAATTTGTTCACTGAAGAATAAAGATACACAATCTTTGAGTTAGAATACCTTATACAGTCAGTCATTGGTGGATATACAGACATCAAAGTTTGTAACTTGCAAGCAAAATAAAGGGGTTCATTTTCTTGTGCGACATTTACTAATTGGTGGTTGAATTTTTTCTGTCCTGTCTAATATATATATATATATATATATATATCTTCAGATTTCACATCATCAGATTGATATCGATTTACTACAGTTCACCAATATACAGTAATTTGTGGAATGTTTATCAGTTGTAGTATTATTATTCAGAAAGTCAATCATGAGTAAATTTTCTTAAGGTCATTTAGATGTTTAACAACGAAGCACCTTGACCAAAGCACATTATAAAAGCTACTTTTGGTTTCATTTCTTTGATGTAAGGTAAAAACTGTACGACAACAGAATGAAAACCATTTATATTTGTATTTCAATATTCTATTTTTACTCTGGTAAGTTCTACATTGATGAATGAACATTTCATTAACTTCAGTGAGCATAAGTATATTATGACTGTTCACTTGATGGAAAATATAATTAGCTAATTTTTTTTCCTTAGTTTATATCAATACTGAGAGAATGTGGTTGTCTATACGAATAGTTCTATTACATAGTAATGTTAGCTGAGTTTTTCTCAACGCTTTGATAATCTTACTCCAATAAACTGTTTATGTGGGAGATGTGTTCAGGTAGATAATAATTCCACCTAGATATATAAAACACCTTCAATATTAGCAATAAAATTAACTAGAAGTAGCACTGTTCCACATGTTATTGCATTTCGTCTCCGGTCAATAACTAAGAACGGAATATGGGGAAAATTTAGAGTTGATGAAGTTTAAAATTGTAAAATAGTTGGTGGTGTAGCGATAATATACTTACCTTCTGAAGAGAAAATAACTTTCTTTACGAAGGAAAATTTTCTCCTGACATCATGTGCTCAGATAAATATTTGTATTCACTGACTAGTTACCATCAGTGTATGGGATATTGATGGAAATACGTAGGATAACATGTTAGAGAAGAAATGGGCAAACTGAAAGACGATGCGAAAAGAAAATAATCCCGTATTTTTCCGCCTTATTTTAAAGGTGAACTATGTCGGAATAACGGTATCCGTAACTTTTATTTCAGTCTAAAGTTCCTTTCAAATGTGTTCCTCCATAAGGTAGTGTTAACGTCATACGTATATTCTACTTTATTCTGCCACATAAATATGAAAAGAAAAAAACCGAATATTAATACTCTTATCTCGGAGAAACACCATCTTTTTGCCTAAATTATTGGAATGCATAAAAAGTTGCTAATTCCTTACAATATGCACGGATTATTATTTTCTAGGGTACCGGCTAGGAAATAGAGCCCCACTGTCACAGCTCCATTTCATCCAGTTATCTGAAGTTCACTAAAGCTTGATTCACGATAGCCTAGAATTTTTCACCAATTCTTAACACGATCTACCTCATGTCACACTCAGAACCATGCCAAACTCACCGTGGCCCATTTACGTTTCACTCAAGAACTTGGCATAAATTATCACTCAGTCGTCTCCTCACAGTGTCACCTAACTAACTCAGTTCCTTCCGGACTGTCTGTTGGGCAACGCGTTCTTTATTGGTTTGTTGCAAGAGTTCCTCTTTTCTTATCCAATCTGGTCATCATCAGTATGGAATGTAGACAGCTATTTATAAAAATACCTAAGTCCGCTACAGATGCTTTAGGTGACGCACCAAGTCTTTGAATCATGTAGAAAAACTGATGTTACATTGCTGTTGCAAATCCGAATCTTGCCTTTCATGCTGAATGTAGGACATTTTCACACTGATTTCACAATAAAGACGACCTATCTGCTATCTCAGGACATGACTTGCTCCATTTGACAATCTGATCTTTGATGTCTATAGTTGAAAGGATGCGGCCTAGACAAGTAGAGTGAGAGTAATTGGTGCTTCCCTTTGATGATTAGTTGTTGTCACCACCTCTCGATGCACACTTGAAGACCTGCTTTTGCTGATTCTTCCTTCTTATTGTCGGTTCTCACCTCTAGATCTGAGAGTTTGTGAGACTTTGGACATAAATCGCTTTCGAAGTGCAAATCTTCTAGAGTGCTGTTCTCGTTCCAACGTATTCCTGTCTTCTTGCTATGCACGGTCTACTGCATGATCTGGTTCACCAACATCAGGAATATCATCAATGATAGTAGGTAACCTTGTCTTATTCCTGTATTTACTTCACAGACTTCACTTAGTTTTCCTTTTAAATCCCTTGACATGTGGCATCTTCATATAGCTCCGTGCACAAGGCATTTTGTATATCCTTGTGCTTTCACACGTTGCCTCCATTCACCAAATCACTGAAGGCGCAGAAGCCTGCGAAGAGTTATCAGTTTGCATCCATTTAACCGAGAGTCTGCCAACCCATGGAGAATTCTGTCCCTTTAATAACTACTCCCAGTTTAACATTCACATCGTCGATTAGTAGTTTGATGTCTCTACTTAGAACGTTATCCATTTCTGTTTGCATTTGTCGATGGAGATCTTTCTATTTCTCTTGTTCTGAGTTGTTTGTCGGTGCCTAATACTGGGTAATTGCAACCCCCGCCCCCGCATTTTGAGTTCAATCTTAACTTGGTTTTCCTAGTTTAATACAAATATCATGTATGTTTGCAATCATTCTAAAATAGGTTCTGAATACGTTCATGTGTGTAGGCCTTGTTAAATAGTGATAATAGTGGAAATTTTTAATACCAAATAAAAGGAGGCTTTTGTAGGAGCACTCACTGAAGGAAATTACCCGTCCCTCATATTAGTTGTACATTGGTAAACATAGATTAATAGCTTTTAGATGATTGGTAAAAAACAGTTTAGGTCTTCTGAATATGAACATTGTTGTCCTATAGTTTTAAGAGAGCTAATTTCTCTTCATCACCACAAACCATTTTGAGCAATTTCGCCGAATTTTAGTATGCCTACCTATAGAATTCAGGTGTAACTTTAGAAAAGACAGATGGCTATTATATCTCTTTCTTTTCCATCACACCTATTCCCGCCTGATATCTTCACTGTACTATTCGTCTAGTGCTTAGTAGCTGAGATGACCGATTTTGTTTGCTTTCATTATCCACTAATTTGGATTTTCGTCATCTTTAATCGTTCACTTAATTTACAACAAAAAGTGGAAAATTATTTCTATTACTTGGCGCAAATTTATTTATACTTTGAGGAAATAAACACTCATTTTGAAATAATAATAGAAGAATTATTTATGACATTTATACCCTATTCTCGAATAAGTCCCTGGTCAGGTTGTTCGCGATTTTAAGCAGAATGTAGACCGACATCCTTATTTCACATACTTTATCCAAACTTTTCAGCTAACCTGGTAAAATAGGCACTTTCACTGGTTTGCACTTCATCTAAAATTAGTGAGAACAACTTGCGTAAGTAATCAGATATTACCGAAAGTAACAACAGCTTTAATTCAGCATTTATCGGTAATGCGGGTAAAAATCTCCTGCACAAACATTTCACCAGATATTTTTATCCGATTTATTATTTTAACTTCCACCCTTATAAATGGTATTTTATTAATAGAATCGAAATCCAGATATTTAGTCGTGTTGAGTAATTAGATAAATCTCGTTAAAAAAGAACATTTAAGGATGTTTATAGTGCTGTTACAAGAGGGCATTACAATTACCCAAAGATTTTTGTCAAGTTGAATATATTTCTGCACAGTGATCGTACTTAACAAAATTCTCCTTCATTTATATTGTGGTGTCTTAAGGGGTAGATTTATTGAAGTTAGCAGTAGACCAGGAAATTTAACGAAATAAATAAAGTATACCACTTAGTTGTGTTAGAACGCTGATGCTGATACTTAGATGCAACATACCGCAGTTTCACATTACTAAATTTAATCGGAAATCTGGGTAGTTAATGGACATTTCCCTTAAAGTCTATATATATATATATATATATATATAAAGTGAGAAGCGTACTTTGTAGTGGTTAGGTTGAGTCTGAATAAACACTAAGGCGATATTATGGCCAGGGGAGAAATAGTATTAAGTCGAACATTATTTGCTACACAACGGAGGATTGTGTGTATCTAACCGGTAGTAGATCAAGACATTTGACTTGAACACTAACAAATGAATCTAAGGTCTACAAGTATATGACAATATTTATACCTTTTAGCCAAAGAATAAATTTCCTTTAAATTTAATTCATGTTAGTGTAATGTAAAACTCATTGAAAATTGTTTGCGAAAAAAAAACGTTTTGTGGACTTCAAAATCAGTGTCTATTATGCGTTGAAACTTCTGGTAGATAGCATATATTTGTGTCATCGACAGAATCAAGTATCAGTGAGTATACTGAATACATTTGACTAGAGTACAATCATTAGTATTCTCTTCTCTTTTTTATTTGGTTTAATTTATTCTGGATGTTTAACTGGTGAGAGGTGAACATGTATTTTAAGAGAAACAGTAGATGGCGATTTTGTCGGGATCTTAAATGCAATCAAGAATAATTCTATGGAAGATTTAAATGTTTGGCGTACCAGTAGAACTGGTACATCGATAGGTTTTTGATTCTTGTATTCATTATAATAGAGGTTTTTTGTATTTCCCAATGAATGAAAAAACAAAACGAGATTGTTTTTACTGACGTTTCGCTATTTAATGCTAATAGCTTTCTCAAAGTATTATTAAACCGGAATTTACAAAATCTCAGCATATATATAACAAAGAGTTAGGGGTGAGAAAAAAATATAGACTTAGTTCAACTTAAAAGGACATATTGAAAGTCAAAATAACAATGAAGATCGTTCAAACCAAATATCAAAGGTAATAGTATATCTGTTATTATATCAAAATAAAGTTTACTAACTTGATCATCGTTCGTTAGTCTGGGGTCATTTTTGGTTGTCAAGTTCGAGAATAGGTAAAGGTAACCAAACTAAGTGTAGAATGTGAAATACTTGATTATCGTTCGTCAGTATGAGGTCATTTTGGTTGTCATGTTGAGGAATAGGTAAAGGTAACTAAACTAAGTGTAGGCTGTGAAATACTTGATCATCATTCGTCAGTCTGGGTCGTTTTTTGTTGTCAAGTTAGCGAACTGGTAAAGATAGTAAAATCAAGTGTAGATTGTTGGATTTTGTCAGTGTGTAGAATTATGAAAGTAGTGTGCGTTTACATGGTGAACTTGCTCACCACATTTGCGTTGATTTTGCTACTTCATGGGGGAGGGTGTTGTAGCCAGGTTAGATTCTGTTTTAGTCCATCATTCCTATTCAGGCAATTTGGATTCCACTTGATATGAAGTGCTTCTGATATTAGACGTTCTTTGTGGTTTCTGAAGTTTTTCTGGATTATTTCAATATTGCCAAAATCAATTTTGTGGCCTGATTCTATAGCATGTAGACCTATGGCTGATGATTTTTGA